GCTTGAGGGTGTCCAAGAAGGGAGAGTTGGCAACAGCCTTGATGGACTCGCCAGTGATGTAGTACATGTTCTTCTGGTGCTCGGGCATGCGAGTGATGTAGTCGGAGAGGGAGGTGGCCTCATCACCGGACTTGGTGGACTGGTAGCGGAGGAGCTTGGCCAGAGTGGGACGGTTCTGGGCGTCCTCGTGGATACCGAGCTTGATGTTCTTGCTGAAGGCCTGGTAGAACTTGTCAAACTGCTCACGGTCCTCAGCAATCTCGGTGAAGAGCTCAAGAGTCTTCTTGACGATGTTCTTCTTGATGACCTTCATGATCTTGTTCTGCTGGAGGGTCTCACGAGACAGGTTGAGGGGCAGGTCCTCGGAGTCGACGACACCCTTGACGAAGCTGAGCCACTCAGGGATGAGGTCGGTGGCATCGTCGGTGATGAAGACACGACGAACGTAGAGCTTGATGTTGTTCTTGGTCTTCTTGGTCTCGAAGAGATCGAAGGGAGCGCGCTTGGGGACGAAGAGGATGGCGCGGAACTCGAGCTGACCCTCGACGGAGAAGTGCTTGACACCGAGGTGGTCCTCCCAGTCGTTGGAGAGCGACTTGTAGAAGGCGGCGTACTCCTCGGTAGTGATGTCGGTGGGGTTGCGAGTCCAGATGGGCTTGGTCTTGTTAAGCTCCTCCTCCTCGATCTTGGACTCCTTGACGGTCTTGGTCTTCTTCTCCTTCTTCTCCTCATCCTCATCGACCTCCTCGACCTTGGGCTTCTTCTCCTCGTCCTCCTCCTTGGTCTCCTCAGCCTCCTCGTCGGGGACCTCGGTCTCGGTCTCCTTAAGGACGTGAAGGTAGATGGGGTAGGAGATGAACTCGGAGTGCTTGCGGACGACCTCCTTGATGCGGGCCTCGTTGAGGTAGTCCATCTGCTCATCCTTCAGGTGGAGGATGATCTTGGAACCGCGGCCGAGCTGCTCGCCCTCGGTGTCCTGTTTCAGGGTGAAGGTACCACCGGCGGCGGACTCCCAGACGTACTGCTCGTCATCGTTGTGCTTGGACACGACGGTGACACGGTCAGCGACGAGGTAGGCAGAGTAGAAACCAACACCGAACTGGCCGATCATGGAAATGTCAGCACCAGCGGAGAGAGCCTCCATGAACTGCTTGGTACCGGAGCGGGCAATTGTACCAAGGTTGTTGATCAGGTCCTAAGAGACGAATATTAGTCATTGAGATCAAAAGTCATCAAAGTGGCAAAATACTTACAGCCTTGGTCATACCAATACCAGTATCACGGATGGTGAGGGTCTTGTTCTCCAAGTCGGGGATAAGGTCGATGCGCAGATCCTTGCACGAATCGAGCTTGGAGGGGTCGGAGAGAGCCTCATAGCGGATCTTGTCGAGAGCATCGGAGGCGTTGGAGATCAACTCACGAAGGAAGATTTCCTTGTTAGAGTAGACGGTGTTAATGATCAGCGAGAGCAGCTGAGAGATCTCAGCCTGGAACTCGAAGGTCTCAGACATGATGGCGGTATGACTGGAAAAGTGAACCGGTCAGAAAAGAGAAGATAGAGAGATGGAGAGATGGAGAGATGGAGAGATGGAGAGATGGAGAGATGGAGAGATGGAGAGATGAAAGAGATGAAGAGAGAGGAATTGGAGAGAAGGCGAATATGAGAGATGAAGAGAGAAGAGTCAGGCTTACAAGAAAAAGGAACTGAGTTAAAAAGGAGCTCTGGGGGAGAAACCAAAGCAGAGTTGAAGAAAGTAGAAGAGGCGGGACCGTCGTTTTGTGTTTCCCAAAAATTCTCTGGGTGGGTTTCTACGATGATCCAGCAACTTCCACCGGTCGGTCAGGCAACCTGATGCCCCTGCAGGTCGATATGTCTATATAGATATTCTAGAGGATTCTGGGGAATTGTGTACTATTTTCAGTTCATTTCATTATTCTATGATACATTCGTTGCTTTTACTTGAAGCTGTCTGTACTTTTGCGGCCTGAGGCACCCCGCTCTAGAAGCTTCCCCATATCAAGGTCCTCTGTCTAGTCAATCCCTGTCGTATTTGATACTCCATACAATGTTCCAGAATTCCTCATTTACAAAAAATAGAAACATAGTCAAAAAAAGGAGATACAAGAAAGACCGGAAAAGCGCACCACCGTTGAAACCTGAAGTTTGCTATGCTAGTGAAACAGAAATGCGATATAACGGGAAAGAGATCATGGCATGGGAAAATGTTGATCGTCAAGTCGAAGAGAAGACCGATCCAGGGATAAAGGAAAAAAAAGTAAAAAAGGCCAAGTTAAAACAAAAGTGCCCAGAGGAGGCAGGGAAAGAAACGTAACTTTTCCAGCCTACCCGGACCAACCGCTAATATGCACTGTGACGGGAAGAAAAAGGGGGAGGCAATAGTCACATAACATGTCATTAGAAGAGACAGGGCAAAAGAAAAAAAGAAGGGATCAAAATGGGAGTAATACAGATACTGGAAGATCGTCCGCCGAAGAGAAGTCATTGGTATGACTATATCGACGTGTGAAGGAGAACAGAGAGGATCGTCGGGATCGTGTAGTTATTTAAGCAGCCTGAGCCTGGCTACGGCCCTTGGCGGCAACGTTGCCGCTGCCACCGCGGCCACGGGGAGCGAAACCTCCACGGCCGTCGCGCTGGAAGCCACCACGGCCCTGGCTGCCGGCACGGTCACCACGACCACGGCCGGAGCCACGACCAGCAGGGAAGCCGTTACCGCCGAAGGCGTTGCCACGGGGGCGACGCTCCTCAACGAGGATCTGCTCGCTGCCAATCTGGTGGGGGTTGGCGGCAACGGCAGCAGCGTAGCCAGAGGCCTGCTCGAACTCAACGAAAGCGCAGTTCTACATGAATTAGTATATCTCAACAAGATGCAATCGAAAGACTGTACGAACCTTGGGGCGACTGACGTCGAAGTACTTCAGCTTGCCGAAACGGGCCAGAGTCTGCTTGAGTAGGCTGGCGTCGACCTTCTCGTTGACATTCTTGATATAAGCAAGGGTGGTCTGCTCCTCGCCAGCACGGGGCTGGGACTTCTTGTGGTCATGGCCAGCGGTTTGCCATCCCGCATCAGTGGAGCCAGTCTCCTGCGGACGGGCAGCCTCGGGGGCGGGGGAAGCAGCAGCGGGCTGAGCAGCGGAAGCCTGAGCAGCGGGAGCGGCAGCCTTGGGAGCAGCAGGGGCAGCCGGGGCCGCCGCGGCGGCAGCAGCAGCAGCAGCAGCCTTGGCGGGGCCCTTGCCAGCGAGTGCGATGCTGGCCCAAGTCTTGGGAACAGCAGGGGTGGGGGCGGTGTCCTTCTGGGGAACCTCCTTCTCCTCGGGAATGGGAGAAGGCTCAGGAGTGGCAGGCTTCTCATCGTTGACGACCTCAGCTTCGACGGCGGGAACGGGAGCGGGAGCGGGGGTCTCCTCAACAGCCGGGGTACCGTTGGTCTGAGGGGTAGGCTCTCCGGGCTGATCAACCTCTCCGTTGGTCTCAGCCTCCTTAAGCTTCTCATCAACCTTGGTGGCAGCCACTTCGTCGGTCACCTGGGTCTCCTCAACGGGGGCCTCGACGGCCTTGGGGGTCTCGGTAGCAGGCGCAGCGGGGGTGGGGGGCTCAGCAGCGATCTCCTCCTCTTCATCAACCATGTAACGGAAGATGTCGTTGAGAACGTAGTAACCATTGGGCTGCTCAGCGAGAACAAAGGTCTGCACGAACTTGCGGGAGGGTTCGGACTTGTTGGAGATCTCGCCAATAACGGAGACCAGGATGTTGTCGAAAGAGGCCTGAGAGTCGACGTTCAGGACGCGCACCTTGCACTCCTGGAAGTCCAGCTGCTTAATCTTATCGTTGATAGCCTAGTGAGAGGTACATGTTAGAGGCATTCGCATCGATGGATAGATTCAACCCACCTTGGTGCCGACAGTAACGGGCACGGACTCGGCTTCAGTGCCGAAGACCAACTGAGATCGCCGGGAGTAGAAGAGGTGCAGCTTGTCGGGGTTGCGGCTCATGGTGGTATAGTACTGCTCGACGAAGTACCAGCCCACCTCATCCTTGGAGATCTCATTCTTCTGCTGGTCGGTGGGAGTGACAGTGGTAGGGGTGGAGGACTGGGCAGGCTGGAAGCTTGCCGCAGTGTTCATGGTAACAGAGGCGTGGTTGAAGGAGTCGGGGTACCCATGGGCAGGGTAGTTGCCATTGATGGGAACCTGGGTCATGTCGGCCATAGCGTCTGATTGAGGGGCTTTGTTTTTGGGAAATGAGATAAAAAGTAACCGAGCGCGACGGAGATGATGGGCACTGTAAGAGCCGAAAGCTTTCTAGAAAGGGCGAGAGCGATAAGAAAGCGATGAAAGATCTAAATATGAAGCAGTTTTGATTTCCCTCGCTTCACTGGATGCGCATTAGTCTTCACATCCTGGGCCGAAGTGGACATGTGGATCAAACTCACAATGCGATATGGACCTAGCACCAATGCACGCAATTGAAGAGATTCAAAAGAAAGGCAGAAAGAGCCGAGGCAAGGAAAAACGGAGGGATCTTAAGAATGCGGAAGCGAAGTATAACTGCGATGAGAATCCGGGAAGACTCTTGTGTGTGGCGGATAGATGGGGGATCTGAGGCCGATTGGAGATGGAAATGAAAAGGGTCAAGAGAAAGATCTCGGAGATAGGACGGAGATGGAGAAGTCGGAGGGAGAATGGAAGTAAAAGAGATGGAATGAAGCTGTGGAAATTCGCCTTCGAAGAAAAAGCGACTTCCTTCTTGACTCCGTGCGGGTTTCGCGTGGGCTTGGCAAGACACCGCCCGGCAGAATTGTGTCCAGATCAAGCTTAGTATATAAAGAGCTTAACGTTAGCAATTGAAGAGTTAACTTCTTTGCTTTATTATATGATTAAAGAGATATAGGGCAGACGGATGGGTTCCACAGAGTTCACTGCTTGTGTGTTATGTACCTATAGAGACAGTATCAGACCAAGAGACTGTAAGATAGTACATTAAAAGAAAGACTATTGGTTATATTTATGGCAAATCTAACAGTAGACCCTAGGAACACTGACCATTATCAAGCATAGATCAGAAAAACGCTGTAGAAAAGTAAACATGTGATTTTTGTAACAGCTCAAGACAAGTGAAAGCCATCTAACAAGACAGACCACATCCACAATTGACAATCAAAGAAAGAAACAATGCGAATCTCAAGTCAAAACGCCGCGAACTGGTCCTAAAAAAGAAAGGGGGTATGATAAGACGTTAAAGGGTGCTCGACTGTAAAAACGACAACAATCATGAGAGCCGTGTCAACAGAGGCTCGGATGGAGGATGTAGACCCCCAAACCAGGGGGAAAAAAAGGGAAAAAAGAGAGAAAAAGAATGATCGGAGACAAATCACACAGAGTAGCCGTAAAACAACATTGCAAGTGTACCTCCGGGTTGGCAGATAGGAATTGAAATCAGGGAGAATCAGCTGCCGCAGCATCCTTCTCAGAGAGAGGCTTGCGCATGACAGCGTCCTGGCTAGTCATTCTCCGGCCGAGAGCACGCTCGACCTTAGCACCGAGAGCGAGCTTGTTCAAGTTGTCTGATTTCTCCTCGGTTGGCACGAAGCGCTGCTGGGTGAGGGGCTTGTTCTCGAGACGCTCGAAGCCATCGTGGAGGTGGGTGATGTCGGCGATTCTGGGGTCACCGCTGGGAAGGCTTCCAGTTGTGCGATCGGAAGCAGCAAGCGAGGGGTTTCCGCTGATAGTGGAGAAGCGCTTTGAGTTTCGGTTCTGCGGGAGGGTTAGACTTGCGAGGAATGTCGAATGCTCTGCGCCGGGGACAGGAGGGGTAAAGGGGCAGAGGGTGGTAGAGGGCGGAAGAGGGCACCTACCGACTGAGTCATGATGGGGCGCTCTGAATCAAGAGACTGCTGGCGAGCCATTTTGAATACAGTAGATGTAAAGGGGATGCGCCGGGAGATAGACACAGGTCGGGGTATAGGAGACTAAATGTGATGCCTGTGCAGAAAAGACCGGTTAGCGTATTCTAAGCGGAGACAATTCTTCAGCAAGGGGGCACATACGAAACTGCAGGAGTCGCAAAAGTCTGGGGCGTAAGAAGCTGAAAGTTGGGAGAAGTTCAGGCGCAAAGGGTCTCTTCACTTGGTCTATGCGAGCAACACAACTCAGGAGACAAGGCAAAACGGGGTGGGTCGTGTTAAAAACTTGGTGGGGAATTGTCAGTAAAGGGGGTCGGCGGATGGATGGGAGTTGGTGGCTTAAAGGATCGACGGTATGAAACTCAAGTCTCCGACATTCAACTCCCCTCAATGTGATATCATGAGCTTCTTGCCACATTGCCACGTGCGATCCACGCGAGCTCATCTCGGCACTGTTGCTTGGAATAATACATTCTAAGACACTTTCCGTCAATTTAGGGTAATATTACATCTTGGAATACACTGAATAACTTATGATGTATTCCCTATGCAGATGTATTCCAGCAAGGAACACTTGCGCGTAGCATCTGATATGTACATGTAAACAAATGCCGAGTTGCTGCACCCCTTTCACACCATTACACCAAAAGTACTGTATTGAAATCATACGAGTGCCGGGCTCTCCAAAGATCATGGCCCATTTTACGTTATAAGTCATCGCAATGGGAGAGTGGAAATGTACGATCTGCTTATATGCTACCTGCAAGCATCTGTCCAAGCTATTCAAGCAACCCAAGTATATAGAGACCCGAAGTGGAGTTGACCGTTAATGACGAATTCGGTACCAGAATGGTACATGTCGAGATACAGTGGTGTATCATACTGTAAGTATTTGACCTCTAGTACTTGACCTAAGACCCACTTTTTTATACTGCCGAACAGAAACCTCAGAACTTCCGTTTCAGTCTAATAGCTAGTAGGGTATCCTTCATAATTAATAACATCAGTCACTGTCCCTTTTCCCGCGTATCAAAGGCATGCTTAAACACAAGAATGCGAGAAGTGTATTGGTACGCGTTGGCATATAGCGTGTATACTATCATGTTAAGACGCGCGAGGTTTATAACCTAATCAAGTAGGCGGTATGAACGACGGTCAAGGTCCGAAGTACCAGAGGTCAAATACTTATGATACACCACTGTACGTGACTACAAGGGTAGCTTTAATATTTGGACAGCTAGTGACATTACCATAAAACGACATCCTGCTTCTGGTGAAAGAAGAAAACAGAGCCAGAAGGATGTTCGATTACATAGGTTGCTCGTGAGGCTCGTCGACTTAGTGATTTGCTCCTAATCAGGTGGGCGGTGTAAAAGCTATGTAATATACGGACCACCCTGCCTCACTCCACGTAGATTCTGCCGGATGTAAATTACACTCGATTGTGCAAAGCTCACCACACACAGTCAATGTTTAAGCACCAGTCAAATCCCCAGCTGGAAACAGAAAACGACCGCAGCCATGCCTAAGCACAAATCCTTCCTCAAGGAGGCAAAGTCGAAGAAGAAGTCTACCTCGAAGCAGGTACGTTATGTTATGACATCCACACAACACAGTTCAATGATGATCTCATACATCGATATAGGCGCCAGTGACAGCCGATGATTACCTTGCTGGTGAGTCCAACAACAGCCCCAACGAAACAACCCACGGACGATACCATGTTAAATCCGAACAGCGCTAACCAAATTCCAGCGGGCGTCGAGCTAGAAGAAGCCGGCGAGAAATGGCGGGCCGGCGACGCAGCCAAATCCATGCGGTTTTTCATGCGAGCTATCACAAATTACGATGAAGGTCTCCAGAAACATCCCGGGACATTCGATCTAGCATATAACAAGTATGTGAACTGAAATGTGTTACCTGCATTTCTGCCCAAACTATTTCTATACAATGATCCGAATCCGCATTGCTAACACTCCACTTAGAGCCCGAGTGCAATACGAAATCACCCAACATCCCAAGCTAGCAACACAACTTCCAGCGCCGCAGGGGGAGATACTGCAGGTTGCACTGCAGTCGCACCGGGAGGCGCTAGTTCTGGAACAGGACAATGCTGACGTGTTGTTCAACTCAGGCCAGGTGCTGACGAGTCTGGCGGAGTCGATGTCTAACTCTAAGCACCCGGGCGACGAGCAGCTTATGCAGGCTGGCACGTATTTGCAAGAGGCTATTGAGTTGTTCCAGCGGTGTTTGATGGTGCAGGAGATGAAGTATACCGAGATGCAGGAGGAGATTGAGGCGATGGAGTCTGGGGCTATGCCGCCCCAGGCGCCGGAGCCTGTGGAACAGACACCGACACAACCACAATTGCAGGCTGAGGCTGCGGGCGAAGATCCGGAGCAAGAACAGGAGCAGTGGGTGGCAATTGTTCAGCCCGTTACGAAGAATACCCTGGTTGATACGGCCGTGGCGCAGTTGGAGACTTTGACCACGTTGTGTAACTTGTTGACATTCAACCCGGGTGCTGGTGGTGTTGGCTGGGTGCAGGAGTATTCGTCTGAGCTGGTGGAGTCGCGGCTCCCTGCTTATGCTGAGGGCTCGGACAGACAGTACGAGGCGGGCTTGGCGCGGGCCAAGTTCGTTTGCGCGTTGAACGAGCTGTTATACCGTGGCGGGCACACAGATATTCAAACATACCAGCAGGAGGTTGGGCAGGTGTTTGGGCCGGATCTGGATGTCTCCGCTGACCCTGAAGGACTATGCGATAAAGCGGATGCGCTTACATCACTCAATGCGGCGCTTAACGACATACCCCCGTCCGAGGATGATGAGGCATTCGAGAACGCGGTGGCTGTCCGTTGGAAATCGCTTTCCACAGCATTGGAATCGTTGACGGCTGCATCCAAACACCCAGATGCTGACAATCTGCCCAAGATCCACATTGGACGGGGAGACGTGGAGATGCACCGCTGGCGACTGGGCCGCGCGCCTTGGAACCATGCCATGGCGAAACAGAATGGTGCCATGCTCCTGCGCAACGCGCAAACATACTACCGCGGTGCAGCCGCCTTAGCCCGCCGTGACGGAGCCGCCGAGGAAGAACGGGACGGATCATGCAAGGAAGCAATTGCCGCAGCACTGGAAGGCCAAAATACCAAGCTGGAACAGCTTAAAACAACCGTCCTCCAGCAAGTGATCGCTGTGGCACAGGATATGGTGGAAGACGGAATGGTCGACGGAAGGGAATTGAGCGCGCTGATCTCGTGAAATGACTGAAATCGCCTCGAACACAAAGCCCTCACAGACCCTCACGAGCATTCACCTCTTCATCCATCTGAACCGCATCCCGGCGAAGATGATGTTCCTTGCTGAACTGTGTGGCAGCCGAAGCAGCACCCTCAATATCAGAAACAACAGAACCCAGATGCGCCAACAATTGTTCGATTTCCTGTCTCTGCGACTGAACAGTCTGCGCCAGCTGCGCGTTCTCCACATGCGTAGCCTCAAGTCTGTTATTCAGGGTCGATTGCGCTTCCTGCAGATACGGCGTGAGGTGTGCCTTGTACAGATCTTCCGCGCCGAGGGTATGTGGGCTGTAAAATAAGAAAAAAGTCAGAAACAAACCAAATCAAATAAAAAAAACCCGTATCATCCATAGCCAAAGAGATTTCGGTTGTAATGTTCAACGTACACTGTTCTCTCAGAATCCTCATACTCTCCTTCCTGCTCCCTCCTTACCCTAGCCTCGCCAACCAACCGATCCAATTCATTAAGATGTGGCACGACCTCCCGCTCAGCAATAATCTCCTCAAACTCAGCCTTCGCGCTCTCCTCCAGCTTCGCGTTTAATTGTCGCCAGACACTCTCTAGACTAGCAGGGACATGGCGCGCCGGGGTAGGGAAGCAGCTTGCGAAATTCGCATAAGAGTTTGCGCGGAGTGTGCGCGCCAGGGCTTGGTCGAAGACTTGGTGTAGACGTGAAGCGCGTGGGCCGGGTGCTTGGGGAATCGGTGCTGGCGGGGGAGGGGAGGGTGAGTTTGCGGGTAGTTGTTGGGTGTTTGGTTCGGATTCGGCCATAGTGGGTGGTTGTGAAAGTTGAATTATGCTGAGGAGTAGGAAATTGCAGTGTAACGTGGCCTCTTTTGGGCAGGTTGAGAGGGTGCGTAAAGGGTTGTTGATGTTCAGGAATTCGGTGATTGTTCGATTGACTTGGATTCAACGCGACGCGACTGTCACGTGGTTTATAGAGTGGTTGGCTATTTTAAACAATTCCTCATAGAATTCGGCTGAAATTCAATTAAACCCGTAACCAAGGCAGAAAAATGGAGATAGAGTACATCAAGTCATAAAAATATGGTATGTCGCAAAGAATCGAGATAATCGACTGATGCCGGCCAGCCCTAAGTAGCTGAATGAAATCCCAACCAACTTCCACATCAATTGTGCATATGATCTTCCCCCAATATGACAGGAATCTTCGAATTCCCTGAGCCTTTTCGTGAATGAGCAGGTACTATCTTTGCCTTTAAGCAAGATATATGGCATAGACCTGCTTGGGTACGGATATCCTGCCAAAGCAATTTGAACGCAGGCCATGAAATCGAGACGTATATAAGACTATTCCAAAAGCCTTGAAGTGGTAGGACAAAAGCACCAACAAAATTGAGACCGAAGGAGACACTATCTGGGTGAGCGAGGGAGTAGGCTCTGTTTATAGTAGATGGGACCTGAAGTTGAGTGATTAGCATAAAAGAAAGTAAGTAAACACTGAATACATGAGCAAAACGACCTGTAACAAAAGTAAAACATACCCAAGTCACAAGCAAGGCAATAAAGAACAACATGGCATACTTGGTATACGCCCAAGCAGCCGAACTAGCCTCAGTAGCAATGGACCTCCGCTGCGAAACAGAATCCAAATCTCCCCGCCCAGTCCGAGCATGACCATCTTTCTGAAGTGGACAAGGAGTAGGTCTCGAGCTATGCTCCAAACCAAGTGGCACATCTCCAGAACTTCCACCCTGGATGGTAACAGAGTATGGCTTGAACGAAGCGGATGGAAGACCGCGTGGACCACCACTCGATGGAGACCGCTGCTCAGGTATGTAGCAGGCAATCTCCCTGGTGACCTGAATACCAGCCAGTGTAGCAAAGGGCGATATAGACGATACCAAATCAGAATCGAAGGGATCGATGCCGCCGAGATTTCGAAGCTGGCGTCTTTTCTGATAGATTACTGATCCTGCTCGGAAGTAGATGGCGAATGTTAGTGAGATGACGAACCAGACTGGTCCGTAGAAGAGGGCTATGCGGAGGAAGTCCCATGGTATTGCGACCCAGCACCATAGCTACGAGGTGGGTTAGTCTATACTCAAGTATCAAATAGGGTAGTTAGATATCTCATACGATTGCAGAGCCATAGATCCGACCTCGAGCTTGGGTTTTGACGAAGAAGTATGCAAAAGCCGGGATGAAAGGTATCCCATAGCAAAACAGGACATATTTCCATTCGAGCTGACGGAGTTGCTCGGAGTTATATTTGTGGAAGAATGTTAGGTAGACGTTGCATGCCATCGCAAAGGTCCATAGGGCGTCGGCGGGCATGAACCTACACAAGGATCAAATCAGTGATGACCTGGAAGGAAGACAAGCAAAGAGAAAAACAAACAAATACTGACCATTGAATTAAGAAGCCCTGGAACTGACATAGCGCACTATCAACCCCTATATGAATCCCATCCTGCGCTATGATCGCGGCTACATTGGCCATGATATTACCCCATGACGCATAAAACACAAGGCGATTAATGGGCTTACGGAAAGATGTCGACCAGATGAATGTGGTGACTATCACAAACGTGCCGATCAAGGAAATAGTCGAGCAGACACGTTCTGTGGCTGAGATCGCCCACATTTGCTGTTCTGAAAGCCCCATGGTTGTATCATGGTATATGGAGCACGTAGCCGAGAGGAGGTGTCTTCACCCCAGGGATGATCTTATTAGGATACGGACCGAAGGATGAGAAGAAGGAGAGAAGATCAGATCCTCGTGACCGAGAGGGTATGTCGTAGATCTACCTACACTTGAGCTTACGGCCCGAGTCGAGGGCATAGCTTGTTTATCGTCCGCACAGGGATTCGGAAAGAATGCTAATTAATGGAGGTCCGATTGGTATGCTTGATTTGGCTTTCAGGGACGTCTTTTAAATGGGTTCACCGTCTCAAACACACTGCATGGAGTCAGGTTGTTGACGAGGCGTGCTAGTGAGAAGACGTGGGCCTGGGATGCACGGACAATCCAGGATTTGCTGTTAGATGGTTGTTTGGATGAAAGACCGGGAGTCTGCAGAGACATGGGAGGGGTGGCATGTGTCACTGTATACGTAACTAGGTACTATTCAGACATGTAACGTTAGGCAGCGTTGAAAGAACAGGCCTGAAAGGGACAGGCGACCTGACACAAATGGCATAAGCGAAGCAAATAAGTCAAAGGAAACAGCTTGTAAAACCACTTTCGTGTGACGGTCTATAACCTGCAGAGTCGAATGAGAAGAGACTCGGAATATTATCCGAGGTAAGGAATAGTAAACTTATTTCTCTGGATGTCTGGACATATCTTTAGGGCAATGTAAAAAGGACCCCCATTTATCTTTAAACAGACTATAAGGCTTGTTTACTTTCCAATACAAGTATAAGCCAAGAGACTCCCAACTGATTGCAAATCAAACGGGCCAAGGCCCAAGCGCTGTTCCTTAAATAGTGTCCGGGTTGAATGGCATTCGATTCCTGAAGAGAGCAGAAAGTTGATGAAATATTTGCTTCGGATCGCAATGTATCATCTCCAAGCAGACTCGTCTTTAACGAAACATGCCCCTCGCAATATGAAAGGCAGATAAAAAAAAGAAAAGCAAAAACCACGATCATCGGGTATAACGCCGAATTCTCCCATTTCCATTGTTCTAATCGAGCTCGTCATCTCGTCATGCGCAGTCTAGACCATTAATACGCAGGCTGGGGCGGGATCATGCCTCCATACCCAGCCATCTGCTGCTGCTGTTGCTGCTGCTGCAATTTAGCCTGGATTTGGGGCAGATCGTGGAACCACGGGTGCTGCAGGGCCTCGTTGGCGCTGATACGCATCTCCGGACGAAGTTGGAGCATGCGGTTCAGCAGGTCCATGCCAATGTGGTCCATTTGAGGGACGATCAAGGACAGGTCCTGCGTCGCGTAGATGTGGAAGTTGGGCTTGTACTCCGGAAGTTGCGAGATGCCAGGCCATGTGCGCTCGGAGGGCGTACCCATTAGACGGAAGATCTTTGTCAATTGATCCTCGTTGGTCGTGCCTGGGAAAAGCGGCCGACCTGTGTACATCTCGGCCATGATACATCCGGCTGACCAGATATCGATGCTGGTGTTGTAGGTGCGACTACCCAGGAGGACATCCGGCGCCCGATACCACAGAGTGACGACCTCGTTCGAAAAAGTGTTGACTGGGATACCGAAAGCGCGGGCTAGACCAAAGTCACCCAGCTTGAGCTGTCCCTTTTTATTGATTAGGAGGTTCTGCGGCTTGAGATCGCGGTGAAGTACGCGGTTGTCGTGGCAGAAGGCGATGCCCTTGAGGAGCTGGTGCATGAAAGACTTGACGGTGGCAGGGTCCAGTTGTCCGCGATCACCGCGAGTGTCCATATATCTCTTTAGGTCTCGGTCCATGAACTCGAAAACGAGCATGAGTTTGTTCTCGGTGTGGATGACATCGTATAGCGAGACGATACTCTCGTGCTTCAGTTCCTTCATCAGGGAAATCTCACGAATAGCGGTGGACGGGGTCCCTTCCTCCGAATCGAGATGGATTTCCTTGAGCGCCACCATCTCTCCAGTCTGGCGATTGCGACCTTTGAAGACCTATTCTGTATCAGCGGTGAACGACGAGTGGCGGCCACAGAAGCCGAGGGGATGATCGAGGCGTACAGTAGCATAAGTTCCTTCACCGAGCTAAACGGGGAGATCATAGATTAGTGAGGGTGCAATGGGAAACGTATAGACCAGGGCAGGGCATACCTTTTCCAGCTGCTGGAAGGAACTAGGCTGTTGGGACTTATCCATGACTTTTGGAATAGGAGCCGATGGCCCTGGTTTGGGTTTAGAGTGGGAAAGAAAAGAACCTGGAGAGACGAGACTGGAGGCGATCTTAAAAGGATGTGCAGGATCCCTAAGCCGATCCATGCTGAGACGTGAGGGAGGAGCCCCGCGTCTCAGAACGGCCCGGGACTCATCGAGTTGGCTGAGTGAGCATCTAACGCTTTTTCACTAGTTGGCAAAACATTCACTTTTTTGATATTCATTTTAGTGATAACTGTATTTCTGTTCGAATCTAATGTTTCTCTCGGCTTAAATCTATAGTTGATTCACAGGGATTTGTGATGCAACGGTCGGTAGGATATCCTGCGACGGATGGCTGCATCGTACATGGGCAGTGGGCTCATCCTCGATATTCTCAAAGAGCATGGCTTCATTCCTCACTCCACCGACATTGACAATGCCAATCGGCATGCCTCGTTTGTAGGCTCGTTCCACCAAGCGCCACGCTGAATAGGTCGCCAGGCTACTACCGAGGATGAGTAGCCGCCCAGCATCGTCGATCGCCTCTTCAGCCGCCGTCTTCACCAATGGGTCGATATTTTCACCAAACATGATCACTGAAGGCTTTAGAATGCCGGCAGTTGAGGTCGGTAACCATGCGCCGTCACTCTCCACCTCTACATGTCCCTTGGTACCGTCTTTCTGCGTTGGAGGGCTCTCCAAACAGGTTGGACACGAGGGATACCGGAATGTAGAATATGGCGCCTTTGCAAGATCAACGTCACCATCCGGATTGAGCTTCAGGCCTTTCCGCCGTTGCTCCTCCGGGTTATCGGTGTCGAGTGCGCCCATCTCAACCATGTGCGCCAGGAACTCCGCCCACGCTGGGTTCAGCCTCTCTAATGATGCTTGGAAATCAGCACGGGGAAGCTGACTCCGACAGCTCGTACAGACAACCGATCGTAGGTATCCGTGTAGCTCGAGGGTATCCAGTTCCGGGTGCGCAAGGGAATGGAACGAGTCGACATTCTGCGTCACGACAGAACTGATGTATCCCTTGTCACTGAGATCTTTGATAGCCCAGTGAGTCGAGTTTGGTTTCGCTTTCACCAAGCCCGGCCATCCGACGAAACTGCGAGCCCAATATCGCTTGCGCGACTCATGGCGCGAGATGAACTCGTGGAAGTAAATCGGTCGATAGGATTTGTTTCGCCGGTAAGTGCCTTGGTCACCTCGGTAATCTGACAGACCAGATGCGACAGAGATGCCTGCACCGGTCAGTAGGACTGTTTGAGAATGTCTCCCCACATCAACTCCACGGAGATTGGGGGATGGTGGCGCCGTGAAGAAACGACCGACTGCATCAATGGCGCCTGTCAATGTACGTGCAGACTGGGGCACTATAATTGCTGGGGGTAAAGGGCCCGTAAAAGGGATTCGAATCGCAGGCGTCGTCATTGAAGACGCATCCTCCGTCGCACTTGTCTTGGCAGAGGAAGAAGAGCGGAGGTTCTCCAACGGATTGCGGTAGTTCTTGGCTGCGGGTCGCGGCTTATACTTGGAAAGTTGACATTCGTCAAGGCTTACAAAGGCATTAGAGATTTATTAGGCATATTTTAGGATATTATAGGATGTTTAGCATATTCCGCAACTTGGGACCGAGTGCGGAAGAAGATGATCACTAATGCGAGCACTCAGATTGGAGAAGAAGTCAAGAATCTCCAGGGCTGGCAAGGCGGATTACATGATCGGGGCCATTCTCCCATTCGTCCTCACTTGATGTTTCTTTGTACAAGTGAACACCCTGTCCAGATACCTTTGTCGGCCGTGCTCGCGTGTCTACTAGAGCGATGCCGCTGACGCAGCCCCTGCGGTGCAGGCTTCGTCCATCCCTCCACTCTATCCGCCTTTCCAGTCTTGGGTCCGCGCAGCGTCGCATACTTACCTCCGCTCCCTTTTTAAAAGACGCTTCCTCCTTTCTTTTTCATTCCAGACCTCGAGCTCTTCGTACACCCCTTGCCATGACACAAACTCGGGGACATGGCGGTCACGGCCACCACCACCACCACCATCATGACAACACCTACTTGACCTCCAAGAACAAACGCGATGCTGGCGTTCGCATTACCCGAATTGGCCTGGTCGCCAACTTATGCATGGCCATTGGGAAGTTCATTGGCGGCTACGTCTTCCACTCTCAATCCCTAATTGCCGATGCATACCACGCGCTCACCGATCTCGTGTCCGACTTTTTGACTCTAGGAACTGTCGCGTGGTCCCTGAAGCCCCCTAGTGAACGATTCCCCAATGGCTACGGAAAGGTCGAGAGCATTGGTGCTCTGGGAGTGAGCGGGCTTTTACTCTGCGGTGGAGTGTTTATGGGTCTCAATGCGGGACAGATCCTGCTGGCGCAATTCTACCCAGACGTGGCTGAAACGGTAGCTCACTCTGGGATTCTGGGACATGGTCACTCGCATAGTCACGGGCCCGTTGGTCCCAGCATCCAAGCCGCGTGGATCGCTGCTGGATCGATTGTGGTTAAGGAGTGGCTTTACCGTGCTAGTAAGTACCGGGATCTTGGAGGTGGAGGGTTGTGTTGATCCACCAATTGACATTGACTAACATCTCTATAGCTATGAAGGTTGCCGAAGAGCGCAAGTCCTCGGTCCTTGCATCCAACGCCATTCACCACCGGATCGACTCCCTCACGAGCATTGTCGCCCTGTTTACAATTGGAGGAAGCTATGTCTTCCAAGACGCCACCTGGCTGGATCCGGTTGGTGGACTTCTGATCTCTTTGATGGTTATCAAAGCTGGTTGGGGTAACACGTGTACCTCTCTTTTGGAGTTGGCAGATACCGCTGTCGATGAGGATGTGCGAAGCTCAGTGGAGGACGCTACCATGAAAGCATTGTCCGAGCTCGAGGGCGGAAGTGATATCAAGGTCCGCGACGTGCAAGGCATGAAGTCTGGCCAAAACTACCTGATGGATATTGAGCTAGCTGTTCCCGGCGCCTGGCCTATCAGCCGGTCTCAAACGATCGAACAGAATGTCCGTCACATTGTTGGAACTGGAGTTCGCGGTGTGAAGCGGATCAAGGTCCGCTTCATTCCGGTGGAACAGCAGGAGCTCACTTTCTCTGATGAGTTTGTTGCACAAGATTCTAGTGCCGACCCGGAGCCTGAGTGTCACTCTAAGCACCAATAGCGTTGACGACTCCCGTGATAAGGAGGGACCTGTACTGTGTATAGATCTATATAAAATATACTTGACTTGGACTACAGTGCTCCGAATAAGCCTTGTGATCTTAGATATAGTGGAGACCTCAATTCAACCGACAATTTAGCAGAACCCTATTTACCCGCTGTCTCGGGGTGAACTTGCTACGTGTATGCATGGGAAATCATTACAGCCCTACTTGGCGCTCGGTATATCTTTCCAAGTAGATATCACCCGGAGAGAATTGGAAAGTCTCAACCGGCTATAGTCCAACCTTTGACATCATTGCGGGTTCTCCCCAGGATCTCGCCGCCTTCACTTTCTTCTCTCATAAATTGACCCCTCCCAGCATCTTTTGCCTAAATATTTAAACCGGGACCTTACAGCTCATTTTCTGAAATTCCTAGATTGCTGTCCCATCTCTGCGAGCTATTGCTGTTGCAGAGTAATTGTGTTCTGTCCTAACGTTACTCCCCACCATGGCGTCTGACAGCCCGCTCTACATTGGCTTCGACCTCTCAACGCAGCAGTTGAAAGGTCTGGTCGTCAATTCCGACCTCAAGGTTATTTACATCGCCAAATTCGACTTCGATGCCGACTCACACGGCTTCCCAATCAAGAAAGGCGTTCTGAACAATGAAGCAGAGCACGAGGTGTTTGCTCCGGTCGCTCTGTGGCTGCAGGCGCTAGACGGCGTTTTGGAGAGTCTGCGCAAGCAGGGACTCGACTTCCGCCGAGTGAAAGGAATCAGCGGCGCAGGACAGCAACACGGAAGTGTATACTGGGGCCAGGATGCGGAGAAGCTCCTTTGCAATTTAGATCCCAAGAAATCCCTCGAGGCACAGCTGGAGGGTGCTTTCTCACACCCATACAGCCCCAATTGGCAGGATTCGAGCACGCAGAAAGAATGTGACGAGTTTGATGCGGCTCTCGGTGATCCTGAGCATTTAGCGCAAGTCACAGGAAGCAAAGCACACCACGTAAGATCCCCGGTGTCTTCTAAAAGACAAGCATGCTAACACTTTCCTTAGAGATTCACAGGTCCTCAGATCCTCCGCTTCACGAGGAAGCACCCCGAGGTTTACCAGAAGACATCGAGAATCTCCCTGGTTTCGTCCTTCCTGGCGTCGCTTTTCCTGGGCCATGTAGCCCCATTCGACATCTCCGACGTATGCGGGATGAACCTGTGGAACATCAAGAAGGGGGTTTACGACGACCGCCTGCTTCAGCTCTGCTCGGGTGTCTTTGAAGTCGAGGAACTCAAGCGCAAGCTCGGGGAAGTACCGGAAGATGGAGGACTACACCTGGGCCACGTCCATGCATACTTTGTGGAGCGCTTTGGCTTTAGTCCTGACTGTACGGTCATCCCAGCAACTGGAGACAACCCAGCGACTATTCTGTCACTGCCCCTGCGGCCATCAGATGCCATGGTTTCTCTCGGCACCTCTACCACCTTCCTCATGTCCACCCCCAGCTACGCACCTGATCCCGCCACACACTTCTTCAACCATCCAACAACCCCCGGTTTGTACATGTTCATGCTGTGCTACAAGAACGGCGGCCTGGCCCGTGAACATGTCCGAGATGCAGTCAATGAGAGCCTAAAGGATACCCCTGCCCAGCCTTGGGCCAAGTTCGACCAGGTTGCGCTGCAAAGTCCCCCGTTGGGCCAGCGAGATTCAACAGGCCCAATGAAGATGGGCCTGTTCTTCCCACGAGATGAAATCGTACCCAACATCCGCAAGGGCCAGTGGCGCTTTACATATGATCCAAGCACAGGAAGTCTGCAAGAGACGACCGATGGATGGACTACACAGGATGAAGCCCGGGCTATTGTGGAGAGCCAGATGATTTCACTGCGTCTGCGTTCTCGGGAACTGACACAGAGCCCTGGTAATGGGCTTCCTGCTCAGCCACGACGGGTTTACCTTGTCGGTGGAGGATCTAAGAACAAGGCCATCGCTAAAATTGCTGGTGAGATCCTTGGTGGTGTTGAGGGTGTGTATCAGCTCGATGTTAGCGATAATGCCTGTGCGCTGGGTGCTGCATATAAGGCTGTATGGGGTATCGAGAGACAGCCCGGTCAGACCTTTGAAAGCCTGGTCGGCCAGCGGTGGAACGAGGACCAGTTCGTTGAGAAGATTGCGGATGGTTACCAGAAGGGGGTCTTTGAGAAATATGGTCAGGCCGTTGAAGGCTTTGAGAAGATGGAGCAGCAGGTATTGAAGCAGGAGGCAGAGAAAGGTAACTAAAAAATAATTAGTCTAGACTGGACATAACATGAGATATAAAATGTTCTATGGAGTGAGCTATGACGAAATATGAGGCACGGGGCTTTGTGCAACCCCTTGCCCTAGGCACATTCACATAGAAACAATCTCGAGCCTCTCTACAGAGTTTCTATTTCTTCTTAATTAATCCTTTTGACATTTGATCTTCAATTCAACAAGCGAAGGCGGAAAGCAGGCACGGAAACTCGATTACGATACCATGGATGATATCGTCCTCCACTGAAAAACAATTTTAACAACACACACACCCCTCCTCTCTCCGCTCCCCTTCCACGCTACAGGGAGACTGGGAAGATGGAAGAACAGGTGAGTTTCTCAGCCTCTGCTCAATTAAAATGCACAAAATTTCCCCTACGCCTATACCTATACCACCCCTCCCCCGCCCTACAGCCCCTCCCCTCAGCACGAGATGATTGACACCGCACAGGTAGCAAATGCCATTGAGATCGCCTGGAATGCCTCCTCCGACCAAGCCCTAAAATCGCAAGCCTTCGATTACCTCAACCAACTCCGCTCCGACCCCTCCGGATGGCAGGTTTGCCTCGCCCTCTTCACCAAGTCCCCACAGCAGCCCGAAGTCGTACGGCATGTCAGCTTGGAAATTGTCAATAGTGCCGCCCAGGTCGGCTTGATCGATCCGGCCTCGCTGCTCGTCGTTCGAGATAGTCTGCTGGGCTACCTCCGCCAGGTGTACGGGCCCGAAGGCTCTGCCACTCCCGACGCTCCCTATATCCAGAACAAAATCGCACAGACGGTCACTTACCTTTTCTCCTCGCTTTACGCTAATGGCTGGGAGACCTGTATCGACGATCTCCTCGCTCTGACTTGCAAGTCCGCAGCGAGCTCGGGCCGCGATAACCAGCTGGGAATTGTTTTCTATCTGCGTGTGCTAAACTCGATTCACGAGGAGATTGGTGATGTGCTGGTTTCGAGGTCCCGCGGGGAGCAGGACAAGGCGAATACACTGAAGGACTTGATCCGGGAGAGGGACATGCAGAAAATTGCCAACTCCTGGCAGGAGATCATGGCGGTCTGGCGGGACGGCGATGATTTGATTGTCGAGATGTGCTTGAAGGCTGTTGGTACGTGGGTCAGCTGGATTGATATTGGCCTGGTGGTGAATCAGACCATGTTGGACCTGCTATTCCAGCAGCTTGGACGGGCCGAGAAGCAGGAACTCCGGGATGGGGAGCAGCGGGTGCGCGATGCGGCTGTCGATGTTTTCACCGAGATCATTGGCAAGAAGATGAAGCCTTCCGACAAAATCGAGATGATCGTCTTCTTGAACCTCGACTCGATCATTACGCAGCTGTCTAATAGTCCTCCCCTACGCGAGAACCGCTTCACATTTAAATACGATACCGATTTGGCCGAGACGGTTGCCAAGCTTGTCAACAACACGGTCGTGGATATTGTGCGGGTTTTGGAGAACGACAGCGGACCTGTTAAGGAGAAGGCAGACAACCTTTTGCAGGTCTTCCTGCCTCATATCCTGCGATTCTTCTCGGACGAGTACGACGAAGTGTGCTCGACTGTCATTCCTTGCGTGAACGACACGCTCACCTACATTCGCAAACTCTCCAAGATGAACCCATCCTTCGAAGCGCGGAACAAGACTATCCTGCTTCCAATTCTCAAGGCTATTGTTGCGAAAATGCGGTACGATGAGACCTCCAACTGGGGTGACGAGGACGAGCAGACCGATGAGGCAGAGTTCCAAGACCTGCGAAAGAGACTGGGTGTCTTGCAGCAGATCATCGCCTCTGCTGATGAGCAGCTTTATATCGATGCCATTTCAGAAGTCGTTGGAACTACCTTCGAGAACCTGCGGTCCTCTGGTGGCCAACTTGACTGGCGTGACCTTGATCTGGCGTTGCACGAGATGTTCTTATTCGGTGATTTGGCCGTCAAGGGCGGCAGTCTCTACCTGAAGGGTGCTCCCACTGGTATTGCTGCGAGCCGACTCATTGAGATGATGCTCCGCATGGTTGAGTCTGACATCCGATCCTTCACTCACCCCGCCACCCAACTCCAGTACATGGAAATTTGTGTTCGTTACAGCTCGTTCTTCACCCATCACACCCACCTTATCCCCGGTGTTTTGGAGAGCTTCCTTCAGCTTGTGCACCACCCTGTTCGCAAAGTCAAGACTCGTTCGTGGTACCTCTTTCAACGTCTGGCGAGACAGTTGCGTAGCCAGATTGGCAACGTGGCACAGACAGTTGTGGAGGCACTGGGTGACTTGTTGGTTATCCAGGCCGAGTTGCCCTCGGAGGGTGATGACGGTGATGAGATGTCCTCCGAGGACCACGAGGGCTCCGCGGATGCCGTCTTCAACAGTCAACTGTATCTCTTCGAGTCTGTTGGAATCATCTGCTCAACCCCCGGTGTCGCTGCCGACAAGCAGGTTCTCTATGCCCAGTCTGTGCTGAACCCTGTCTTTGGAGACATGGAGCGCAACCTGGAAACCGCCAAGGCCAACGACGAGCGCGCCTTGCTGCAGATTCACCATGACATCATGGCTCTGGGAACACTCGCTCGAGGCTTCTCCGACTGGCAGCCGGGTACCAGCTCGCCATCTGCTCTTCCCGCGCCAGAGGTCTCAGCGGCCTTCGCCCAGGTTGCCGAGGCTACCCTTGTTGCCCTCGAGTCACTCAAGTCCTCGTTCAACATTCGAACCGCTGCTCGCTTTGCATTCTCCCGCCTCATCGGTGTTCTGGGCGCACAAATTCTCCCCCAGCTGCCCCGCTGGATCGATGGACTCTTGACACAGACG